CACACACACGCTATACGTATGAAATTTAATGCATAATATCGTATTTACAGAGAATACGTATATAATAATATCTTTCTTAAAGATAAATGTCTGTAAGTATATCAATATTAATACATCTATATATGTAAACACTCACACGCCATATGTATATATATATATATATATATATATATATATATATATAGAATACCTATGAACATAGCTCATAGAGAAAGACATGTCTACATATGTAGGTATGTCAAAATTAATATATTCATGCATGTAAAAACTAACACGCCCTACGTATATAAATGTGTTGAAACTTGACTAATGCATGGAATAATAATGCAATACAAAATGTACTTAGAACAAAATGTATTGAAACAAGAAAGTGTACACAATATTTACACATAGTCTTTTGTATATTCCTGGTAAGACCGTTCCTGGAGAATGTGTTGACTGAGTCGCAGTCGGGCAGAGTCTCTGGTTGAATCTTTTGATTCCTCCCTCTTTTCCCGGTACCAACCATATTTATATGGTCGGTACTCCACTATGCAAATTAGGTGGATCCTACCATAAAATGTATACCATTATATTTTTCTAATCGATTTACCATAAGCAAGGCGATAATGCCACTAAGATGCAAGACACTACTGGGCGTGAAAGAGAACAAAAAAGACGTTAGAAGGAATCGAAAAACCGATTCTAGACAAGAAACAAGGAATAAACCGCTACTCCTGTTCAAAACACCGGGGTGGAGAGGAGAGTGTAAACAGGACGATAGGTCAACCTATCTTACTGAGGAAAAATAAATTTAAAAAAATAAATAAATTGTAAATAATAATACAGAGTTGAGGAGGAGACGATAGAAGTATAAACTTAAAGTAGATTTTAGTAGGAACAGGAAACCCAATCCTATACAGGAAACAAGGGATAAACCTTTACTCCTGTTCAAACGATCGGGAAGGAATCTGAACATGATGATAGGTGAACCTATCTATATAGAATGCCTATGTACATCGGTCATAGATAAATACATGTCTACACATGTAGCTATGTCAAAATGAATATATTTATACTTTAATCCTACGTATATAATTGTATGCGTAATATATTTACATAGAATACGTATCAGCGCTGGACACTCTCATCAAAGATGGAGAAGAAACTTGAGGCAAAAGAAATGTAGTTCTACAAAAGGATGCTGGGAATACTATGGACTGAACTCGTGAGAAAGTTTTAGAGAAAACTGAAAATTTCTAGTTCACATGATGAAGAAAGAGGGCTGAGAAAATTTGGCACTCACAATAGGGACAGTTGGAAGCAGTAAATAGTTGGCAAAACAGGGAATATACGATATACCAAAAGGACAAACTTTGCTAAGGGCTACAAAAGACAGAAAGTTGTGGAGAGTCATGATCGCCTGCGTCCTGAAGGAACACGGAGCATAGATGAAGAGGAAGATATACTTTTGTCACAGAGAAATGTATGTCTACATACGTAAGTACGTCAAAATTACTGTATTTATACAATCAAAACTCAAACGCCCTACGTATATGTTATGGTCCGATTTCTTGTACCACGGTGATAGTCCAAGGTAGAACCAATAAAGAAGAACTCGAACACGGATATGGAATAACACAGAAATATTACAAACAGGAATATATACAGAGAAGTAGAAATCACTATTCCAATGTCTTGTAGTAATTGTCTGAACGCGACTCTGTTTCGGACTGCCTCTGACTCGACTGACTGACTCGCTCGCTCTGACTAACTGACAGACTCCTGATGGACTTCACTCCAGACTTCAGACTGAACGGTATTTAGTCACCCACCCCTCCCCGAGGGCATCATGTGGCACAAGGCCGGTTTAACGTGGGATCTCCGAGCCAAAAATATGCCCTTTTAAAACCCGTATAAACGGGTTCAGGGTCGGTTTACCTCCCCGAAAGAGACTCCGCCCTTCGGCGTAGCCTCGTTCGGGTTCCTAAGAGAGTTCAACCGATCAGCCGGTCGCCAGACATGGGACTGAACTCCCTGCTTCCTCTTGAGGCGCAGTATTTATTACGTATGTCACTCACAGTAGGGATACATGGAAGCAGTAAATAGTTGGCAAAACAGGGAATAGTCCTTTATGTTATTATGCGTAAGGTCCCATAACAGTATATAATTTTATGCTTATAATTATCCAGAATATTTATTTACTTCCTTCATAGGGACATATGCCTAGTTAGGTACATAAAAATATACCTATCCATGGAAAATCAATACCAAGATAGATAGATAGATAGATAGATAGAGAGGGAGAGAGAGAGGGAGAGAGAGAGAGATTAATGCTACGCATTTTTGTGATGTCAACGAACACTCATTGACACTTTTACGAATACTCCTTGTCACTTTTGTAATGATCGTTGGAGTAGAGACTTTATAATCGCAGATACAACTATAGTAGCCGTTGAACAATGCTGGTGTCAGACGCCTTAGAATATCACTCGCACTAATAGTACTTGCACGTTAATACTCGCTCGAATAGTAATCAGTATAGTGATCTAAAGAGAGAAATAGTATATCAAACAGAGTAGAGAAAAGCGGTCTGTAAAGTAATAGAGGATAGAGTAGAAATAACGATCCGAATAGAATAGAGGATAGACTAGAAATAGCGATCAATTAGACACACGCTACCTTCCATATATGTGTTTCCTATATGGTGACGTGGCCTATTTAATTCAATAATGGGATCGCTTGTGTTTGCTCACTGGCGATCTATGTTCAAACTCAATTGTCAGCAGCGACACTTTATTCCTATATATATAATTTTTTTCCTCACTGACAGCGCAACTTTTGTCAGATAAGTGACATGTGAGACGTCTACTTCAAGACTTCATGTGTCGCTTATCTGACCAAAGTGGCATAAAAAGGAACTTAGCCAACCACAATTTACAACAACCCATAGAGAAGATAAAACTAGCATCCTATATAAGTTCCGTTATTGATGACATCTTGCTGTGAGAGAGGACCCTGCCCGTTTCACTGTATCACAGCTCGTCAGTGTGGGTGTCTAGCTTCAAGTCGGGATCGAAACTCGACCGATGTGACATCAGTCAGAGGATCTTACTCCTTGGTACGGCAGAGAGAGAGAGAGGTCATTTTTAACGCCTTATATACGTGCTATATAAACGCCATACCAGCTGCGATAGCGTTCATTTCTTACGAAAAGCGATGTATTAAATCAGTAGCAACTGTTAAAAATTCGTTTTTCTCCATAGTGCTCAATTGGCAAACGGGAACAAGCTGAGTTGGGATCAAATACAGATCAAATATTGATTAGAATCCAACACATTGATAAAACAAATTTTAAGCATTTCACTCCAAGCAAGGCGTCAGTGCCACTAGCAAGTAAGGGGTTACAAAGAGTGAGAGCAAGATTAATGAGGCGTGGTAGAGTAAAAGGTGAAGAGAAGGATGGGGAATTAGATCAAGTCATCTGAATATGTCGACTGGCATTACATTTGAATATTTGGAGACTATAGCTATCAGCGAAGCAAGTAAGGGGAAGAGAGTTCCACAGACAGGAACTGTGAGACGTGAAGTTATTGGAGTAGAAGAGTCGGCCATATTTAACTGTTTCGACAGTTAAAGGGTGGGACTGAGATGCCAATGTAGTAGTACGTTTAAATTCATGCAATTTGGGAACCAGCAAATGTAAGTCGTCGGAGCAGTCACCGTGAAAGTATTTGTAGAAAAGACAGAGGGAAACGACAGCACGTCTGAGAGAGAGAGAGACTGTAAACGAGATGCTAGATCAGGGCCAATAACATTGCATATCCGTATCTGGATTTTGTCGAGGACCTTAAGACAAACAGCGAGGACTCCATGCCTTATATGGCAGCAGTATTCCATGCAAGGACGAATGGTTGATTTGTAGATTTGAAGGACGAACTCGAGCTAGAAAAACTTTCTGGTGTGACACAGAGAACCAACTTTCCTTGCGGTAGATGAAGCTATTGATTCAATGTATTTGTTCCACCCCAGGTCAGCGGACAGTTTGAGACCAAGCAGTCACAGAGAGGTGCTCTCGTGGAGTTTAACATCATACATTCTAAAGGGAGGCAGGAAGGGTCTTCTGTGGTGAGTAACAGAGAGCAGTCTTGTTTTGGAGGCACTAAATTAACCAGCCATTTCTTGCCCCAGCTAACAACAGATTGGAGGTTCTTTTCAAGACGAACGGCCAGGTTAGTTTTGTCAGCGATGCCGGATTTGCCTCAAAGAGGCAAGAGTAAATGTAGTGTCGTCTGCATAGATGCCTACTTGGGAACTGATGACAGCAGGAAGATAAAAAACAAATAAGAAACGTTTATCACTCTAAAATGGTTGACGTTTATTGAAGCATTAATAATAGAAACTTTAAGAAAAGTAAAACAACTTAGATTGATGTTTCCTATTTATTCTTTATCTTATACATACACGTTTCATTGAAGACGAAGAACAAGGCACTACGATTAAACTTTTCATTAAATTCTTCTTGCATTCATACAAGTGATTTCTTTTCTGGACATAGTTTGTAAAAACATTCCAAATGAGCCCTTGGAAGAAAAATTAATAAAAAAGCTTAAAAGAGATATATGTGTGTGTATATGTGTTTAATGTGTTTATCTTCTCTATAGCTGTTTAATAAATATGCTATTTTCTCCATATTCTTGTAAAATTATCGATCTACTCCTAACTATATACACGTGCGTACGCCCACATTGCAATCTAAGACTAAGTGCTTGTAGTCATTCTGTTATATGCTAAACAGATATGCATATGCATAACCAAATATGCAGATATTTTTGCTAAAATATTGACTTACATTTTGGGAAATCTTTCTGAGTTGATATGAGCTCCTAGCATTTTTCGCAAAATAATTTATTCATGTAAATTCGTAGCATAATTATTCAGATATCAAAATATTTTTGCTTCTTTTCTACGATCTTATGTTACGTTTCGGGAAAATGCAGTATTCCATGCCAAAAGAAAGATTATCGCTTTGATTTGATTGATATCTTGAGTAGTTTTTGGTCGATAGATAGATAGATAGATAGATAGATAGATAGATAGATAGATAGATAGATAGATATAAACGAACGAACAAACAAACAAACGAAAGAAAGAAAGAAAGTAAGAAAGAAAGAAAGAAAGAAAGAAACAAACAAACAAACAAACAAACAAACAAACAAACCAAAGAGACTGTGATAGATAGATGTCAACAGATTAAGAAATAAAGAAACTGAGATAGAGGTCAACAAATTTAAAAAGAAAGAAAAAAGAATGAAATATAAAAAGAAACAAGAAAGAAAGAGATAGATCTTAACAGATTAAGAAAGAAAGAAAGAAAGAAAGAAAGAAAGAAAGAAAGAAAGAAAGAAAGAAAAAAAAAGAAAACTAGGAATAATGAAAAAAGAAAGAGGTGGCAAGAGTAAAAGAAAGAAAAGGATGCAGTAAAAGAAAAAAAGAAAGAGACTGAGATAGATAGATAGATAGATAGATAGATAGATAGATAGATAGATAGATAGATAGAAACAAACGAACAAACGAAAGGAAGGAAAATAAAGAAAGAAGAAAACTAATATAAATGCGAATAGACCGAGAAAGAAAGAAAGAAAGAAAGAAAAAAAAGAAAGAAAGAAAGAAATGTGAATAGAAATGAGAGTGAGATTGATATCAACAGATTACGAAAGAAAGAAAGAAAGAAAGAAAGAAACTGGGATAAATGTCAACAAATTTAGAAAGTAAGTAAGAAAGAAAAAAGAATGAAATAAAAAGAAGGAAACAAGAAAGAAAGAGACTGAGATAGATGTTAACAGATTAAGAAGAAAGAAAAAAGAGATTGAGATAGATAGATAGATAGATCGATCGATCGATAGATAGATAGATAGATAGATAGATAGATAGATAGATAGATAGATAGATAAAAATGAACTATGTGGTTAATTAATTCTCAGAAGAAAATGGTATAGAATCTCGTTGTCTATTGACATAAGAATCAAAGAACGGGAATATAACTATTTTCATTAACCTATGACAATTTGTTTTCCATAGCAATTCAAAAATTCTTTTGGATATTTTTTACAGATTAAAGAAAAGGATTTTCCGTTCCCCTCTCTCTCTCTCTCTCTCTCTCTCTCTCTCTCTCTCTCTCTCTCTCACTCACTCACTCACTATCTCGCACTCACTCACTCACACACACACTATCTCGCACTCACTCACACACACACTATCTCGCACTCACTCAAGTAATACTTTTTCTCAATAAACCACAAAATTTATCTACACTGTAGGATCGCTAAAATCTTGTGACATAGAAAATCAGATTACTTCTGGGACTCCTTGCAACAGTAGAAATCAATGAAACCACAATGGCTACACATATCCTGGCCATCGAGGTCACCAATTTTCTTCTCCTTCTTTTCTTTCTTGCCCAAAAGATATTCTGCGCTGATCTTTCGTTTTTATGAATTCATTTTCACGGATTGGAAAAAAAAATTCACCGATTAAAAAATCTTGTTGAAAACAAACAAAAAAAAAACAAGATCTGAAGCCGCTGTAACACTCGATTTATGAATAATCGACAGAATATTTCATGTCGTGTGTTGATTATTCAAATATCAAGGAAGTTAAAGATAATCAACAGTGATAGAAAAAACATCTTGCACTGGGCTGAAATCAGAATTTTCCATCTCATCGTTAGTTTTGTGATAATAAACAAGACAAGAGTGACAGGGCGGATTTAACCTTTGAACTTTCTAATCAATGATCTCCTACTCAGAGCGTTAAACCAAACCAAGAATAATATTCAGTATAGTTTCTTTAATTCTTCATGACACCAGGAATTCATTGAATTTAGGAATTCTTTTCCTTGTGCTAGATTTTATTCATGGGAATATACTACATGAACAGGTTCCATCATATTTTGAAATTTTCATATATCGACACTATTCTTTATCACAATTATTGACTTCAAACTTGCTTGCTAGGCATTGCTCTATAGGAAGCGGACAGACAGTAATTATTATTATTATTATTATTATTATTATTATTATTACTGTGAGGCTCTCCCCTTTTTACATAAGATGGACTCATCCAAAGTATACTTATACTGACAGGGAGAATGCCTGCTGTTGAGAAACGTCGAGATACAGTCTCAACGTCTGTCGAACTCTCTGCCTTGGGAGAGAGGAACCCGGACGAAGCTTTGCCGAAGGGCAAGGTTTCGTCCGGGGAGGTAGACAAGCCCTGAACCCGTCTAGGTGGGTTCTAAGGGTATATTGTTGGCCGAGCCTACGGGCTCGGAGAGACCCACTTTAATCTCGGCCTTGTGCCACATATATTCCTCGTGGGTGGGATATTAAATATTAGATACGTTGAGATACAGTTCGACGTTCGTCGAACTCTCTGCTTTGATAGAGAGGAATACGGATGAAGCTTTGCCAAAAGGGCAATGTTTCGTCCAGACAACTCGTCTAGGCGGGTTCAAAAGGATATATTTTTCTCAGAGAGTAATACATATTCCTCGTGGGTGGGATATTAAGTACCGAGATACGTTGAGACAGGTTGAGAGACGGAACAGAGTGTGTTCTGATTACAAGAGTCCAGAGAGAGAGATGATTACGGCTTGACTTACAGAGATGTGTACATATACTTTCTACTAACCCGCATTCCTGGACTACTAATCCTCACTGTATTCTTACGTTTAATACACTTATTTTTCTATCTCAATTACTGGCGTTGTTTATTTATTTGTGCAGGATTCTAATCACGGAATCCACAACAATTATTATTATTATTATTATTGTTGTTGTTGTTGTTGTTGTTGTTGTTGTTGTTATGGGCACGTTCGCATTCTGATCACGAGACACGGGTTCGAATCTTACCATGGTCGATTTGTCAAGAAGGAGATTTCCTGTTGTTGTCGGACTGGAGGTGTCGGTCCCAGCGTGCGTCACCTTTGGAAAGTGATTGAAAACCATACCACGGGTTGACCCAAGCCTTGTGAATAAAATTGGCTAGACGGAACACTTGGGTGCCGTCGATAGCTGTGTTAGCACGAACTCACAAGGCATCGTGGCCGAGGGCTTAAATGTGCTGGCATTGTTCAAATTGTTAATCACGCTAGATAACACGCTCTTTCACAGAAACTAAGATCTGCTCAGCATAGTTGCATATAAAACACAGGAGTGCTCTGTGTATGTTGAATAAACACAAATGCACCTGGGCAAGCGTCTGCAATAGGGATTGGCTAGCCGCCCCAGTAAACGGGTATCCTCGCATACGAGTGGCCAGCTATACATTATTATTATTATTATTTGTGTATGTTATGTTTCCTGCTTTGTATCCTGTAGAGTTGGGTCAAAACTATGATCCTTACGCCCTATAGGAGAATTATCATTTAATTGACAGCACTTTTTTAGTAAATGGGCTATTCCTAGTAGGGCGATCTTCTGAGCAACTTAGATGCTTATGTTACCTGGGACACTGTTAGTAACATTTCTATTCTTTTCTTTACCAAGCCCAGTGCTCCGATTACTATTGGTACAGTCTCAGTCTTCATCCTCCACATCTTGTTAATCGACTCTCCAGGTCCTGGTATTTAGACAATTTCTCGATAATGTCCATGGAGAGGTTTCTCTCAGATAGTACTGTTATGTCAATAAGCATACACTTTCTGAATTTCTTGTCTTTTATGATAATACCAGGTCTGTTAACTTTTATTTCCCTGTCAGTTTGAATTGACATTTCCCAGTGGATAGTTGCATCGTTATTTTGGGAAATTGTTTCTGGATGGTGCTCATACCGTCTCTCAGTGGTTTTGATTTCGTGCTTCTTGCATATCTCCCAGTGCACATATGTCACTACCTTGTTTGGGCACCTCGACGTGGTGTAATGGTTAGAAAGCTTGTCTTGCTAGATCAATTACGACTGAGTAGTGAGTTCGATCCTCGCTGGGTTCCCCCATACTTTCGGCCTTGTGCCACATCTAAGCCGGACTTAGAAAATCACTACCTTGTTATGTCTGTCTGTAAGTATATTCATTTTTTGCCAGTTCCGGACATCCTGAGATAATATGGTCGACAGTTTCATCATATTTTCCGCAGATCCCGCATTTCGGATTAGTTCCGTCCTTAATTATGTGACAGTAATAGGAGCTGGTTAAGAGACTTTCCTGAGCTGCAATAATTAGGCCTTCTGTCTCAGCTTTCAATCCGGTGATCCTCAGTCACTGATGTGATTTCTGTTGATACACATCAGCTTCTTTCGTTCTTTTTAGGTATTTTCCATGCAACGCCTTGTCCTCCCATTTTTTTTAAATTTCGTTTGGCCAAGTTGTTTGGCTTTCTGTCTTACTCGTTTGGCGTAGATGGTATTCGCTTCGTTTTTTGTTGGTAGGGCTTCAGGTATATTAAACTGTTTCTTCAAGGGTTCAGCTTCTTTTTTGATAGAGTGGATTTAGTGTTCTACTATTTGTAGGAAAGGGTCATTGATTTTTATGCTTCCAATGCCATTGTTGTAGTTTTTAGAGCTCTTCGTACATAAAGTCTATCAACATCTGATTTCGATTGGTGCATTCTCATTTGGGTAAGCATTTTTCTGGTCTTGGCATCCAATCTTTGAATGTCATTCAACTTCTATTTAATAATGTTGAAGCTGTATGTTATAGGCGTACAATGACATAGAGCTATCATACATAAAATACAATGAAAAATGTAAGGTCGTTGCTTCCTTCTTAACTATACAGGCTTTGTACCAAATACAATTACCGTATGACATAGTCATCCCCGGATGCTAAGACGCATTACCCCCTGAAAAATGCCGTCAAAAATGCCACTGCCTATTCGCACTGAAAGATCAAGTTGTAGAGAAAAGTTTGATATTCTTCACGAATCACAGTCACAAGATACAAGCAATTATGAACACCAGATATGCTAGTATAAGCCTACAACTATCATTCATCTATAATAAATAGCATATATCCCGTTAGTATCATACCATATATATTGTTTATTTGTTTTCTAGTATTGATGATAATCATTAGACATCTAACGGTACTCTAAGTCTCGCTCGTCCAGGCATACTGTGTGGTATCTTTACAAACCCTAGCCACGTAATACAGTCTGAAAGATTTTGTTCTATTCTGTTTTGTTTTTATAATTATTGTAAACGCCAAGAAAAGCGGGAATACCACTAGTGCGCAGGGGCCTATAGGGGGTGTATGTAAAAGAGAAGACCGAGAATAGGGAGGATTGGGGAAAGGACCAAAGATGAACGGGATTCAAGAAGGCAGAAGATGGCGATTTGATGTTGCCTTTAAATTTTTGAAGATTGTAGTTACCAGGGAAGCAAGTAAACGGAAGGGAGTTCCACAGGTTGGAAGTGCGAGAAAAGAAACTGTTGGAGTAGAAGGGATGGTTGTATTTAGGTATTTCAAGAGTAAAAGGGTGGGAACTAGATGCCAATCTAGTAGCAAGATTAAATTCATATAGGCGAGGCACCAGGGGAAAAAAAGCTTGTCAGGGCTGTTGCCATGAAAATAGTTGTAGAAAAGACAGAGGGAAGTCACCTCATTTCGGTGAGAAAATGGCTGAGGTCGAGATGCCTGGTCAGGACCGATTACATTACAGATCTTTCACGTTTCTTATGTATACCAAAAAACACCAGCCTTATTGCCATATTTTGAGTAGCATTAAAAACAACTTAGTTAACTCAGTTGGGGTACCGTTAATTTAAAATGGCGGCAATTATGAATTATTTTTGATAGGAAGAGACAACATTATGCTAAAATATTGAAAATCTAATTAATATTTTTTTTAAGCATTACGCCCCGAGCAAGGCGTGAAGCCACTAGGATGCAGGGGGTTGCAGAAGATTAGGAGCAAGAGCAGATAGGAGTGATAGAAGAAAGGATGAGGAGAAGGATAGTGGATAGATCAAAGTAACTGGAGATGTCGATTGACATTACATTTGAATAGTTGGAGATTATAGCTCTCAGGGAAACAGTAATTGGGAAGGGTGTTGGACAGGCGAGAGGTGCGAGGTATGAAGCTATTGGAGTAGAAGAGACGGCTACATTTAAAAGTTTCTACAGTGTAAGGGTGGGAGCGGGATGCCAGCCTCGTAGGGCGCTTGAATTCATGGAGTCTGGGAGCCAGTGAAAGCAGCTCATCGGAGCAATTAACATGAAAGTATTTGTAGAAAAGACAGAGAGAGGCGACGGCGCGTCTGTGAGAGAGTGATTGTAGACGAGATGCCAGATCAGGGCCAATTATATTATATATCCGTCTCTGGATCTTGTCAAGAACTCCGAGGTAAACAGAAGGTGCCCGAGACCATATATGGCAGCAATACTCCATGCAAGGGCGAATGGTGACGAATG